GATTTGCCTTATATGTATATAGTAAAACCAAAACACATCTTCTTCTTTTATATCTTAGATATTTGGTATGAAACACTGTCTGGTGGACCTCTACAAAATTTGTTCAAATTATAGCCCTTGGGAGAAAATTGACCCTGCCCCCGGAGGTGGGAACATAGATTTTCCTTATATGTAAATAAAATAGTAAATTTCTTCTCTAAAATATTCTTACATGAAACATTATCTAGTAGACCTTTACCAATTTTGTTCAAATTATAGCCCTTGGGTCAAAGTTGGCTTTCAATAATACTTGAAAAATCTTGAAAACTGCAAGGGCTATATACATATTCTCATAGCAACCAGTGACTTTCTATAGCAAACATTGATTTTTCAAAGAAACCAAAAATTTCCATAGCAACCACTGACTTCCATAACAATCACTGCCTTTCTATTGCAACATATGACTTACATAGCAACCAGTGACTCCATAGCACAGGATTTTACGTGACGCAGAATTCTGCTTCCCTATACGCATAAATTTTGACATGTACGCATATAAGTTATCCATTTGTGTCCAAGTGTACGCACAAAAATAATCCTAGACAATAGATATTATTGTTTCTGACCAGACATGATTTTATCTCCTTCTTCTCGAAGCTCACAAAATTCCAGTTAAAATCTAATACAGTGAGCAGAAAATGCTTGCATTTGTTTATTTCCGAAGTTAACATAATTGAAATCTACTGCACATGCTATTGGCAAGTGCCCGCTGCAGAAACTGGTGACGTTTACAGTGCAAGCTACAGTAACTGATGATGTTTACCTTAAAATCTATTTTAGGTAGCTGTTTTTAGCTCACCTGTCACAAAGTGACAGGGTGAGCTTTTGTGATCGCTTTTCGTCCGTCGTCCGTAAACTTTTACTTTAAATGACATCTCCTCACCGCTGAGCCAATTTCATCCAAACTTCACAGGAATGTTCCTTTGGTGGTCACCTTTAAAAATTGTTCAAAGAATAATTTAATTCCATGCAGAACTCTGGTTGCCATGGCAACCGATAGAAAAAAACTTAAAATATCTTCTTTTAAAAAACCCAAAGAGGTAGAGCTTAGATATTTGGCATGAAACATCTTCTAGTAAGTGTCTATAAAGTTTGTTCAAATAAAAGCCCTGGGGTCAAATTGGCCTCGCCCCGGGGGTCATTGTTTTTCCCTATATGCATATAGTAAAAACTTAAAATATCTTCTTTTAAAAAACCCAGAGAGGTAGAGCTTAGATATTTGGCATGTAACATCTTCTAGTAAGCGTTTATCAAGTTTGTTCAAATAAAAATCCTGGGGTCAAAATTGGCCCCGCCCCAGGGGTCATTGTTTTTCCCTATATGCAATTATAGTAAAAACTTAAAAATCTTCTTTTAAAGAACCCAAAGAGCTAGAGCTAAGATATTTAGCATGAAACATCTTCTAATGGGTGTCTACCAAGTTTGTTCAAATAAAAGCCCTGGGGTCAAAATTGGCCCGGCCCCAGGGGGTCAATGATTTTCCCTATATGCATATAGTAAAAACTTATAAAATATTGTTTTAAAGAAATCCAAAGAGCTAAAGCTAAGATATTTCGCATGAAACATCTTCTAATGAGTGTCTATCAAGTTTGTTCAAATAAGAGCCCTGGGGTCAAAATTGGCCCTGCCCCGGGGGTCATTGATTTTATTTATGTGTATAGCAAAAAATTTAAAAATCTTCTTTAAAAAAACCAAATAGCTAGATTTAAGATATTAAGCATGAAACATCTTCCAGTTAGTGTCTTCAAAGTTTGTGCAAATAAAAGCCCTAGGGTCAAAATTGGCCCTGCCCCGGGGGACATTGATTTTCCTTATATGTGTATAGCAAAAACTTAAAAATCTTCTTTGAAAAAAACCAAATAGCTAGAGTTAAGATATTAAGCATGAAACATCTTCTAATGAGTGTCTTCAAAGTTTGTTAAAAAAAAAAAAACCCTTGGGGCAAAACTTAAAAAATCATTTTTGTGTCGCCTCTACGGAGTAGTGGCGACATATTGGGATCACTTCTCCGTCGTCTGTCTGTCCGTCCGTCCGTCACAAAACTTGTCCGGACTACTCCTAATAAACTACTGGTGCAATTTCATCCAAAATTTACAGGAATGATCAGTACCAAGTCTAGTTGTGCATATTGTCAGCATTTTCCGGTTCAATGATTTTTGTCAGAGTTATGGCCCTTTAATAATTTTTAATTTTAAAGTTTGTCCGGACTACTTCTCTTATACCACTAATGCAATTTCTATGAAACTTTACAGGATAGATCTGTAGCTCAAGTCCTTGCGCATATTGCACGGGTTTTCCGGTTGAATGATTTTTGGCCGAGTTATGGCCCTTTGATAAAAAGGTTTCTTTTTCTGTGTGTTGCCAGATACACAAAAGCTTGTCCGGACTACTCCTCATAAACTACTGGTGCAATTTCATCCAAACTTTACAGGAATGATCAGTACCAAGTCTAGTTGTGCATATTGTCAGCATTTTCCGGTTCAATGATTTTTGTCAGAGTTATGGCCCTTTAATCATTTTTATTTTTAAAGTTTGTCCAGACTACTTATCTTATACCACTCATGCAATTTCAATGAAACTTTACAGGATTGATCTGTAGCTCAAGTCCTTGCGCATATTGCACAGGTTTTCCGGTTGAATGATTTTTGGCCGAGTTATGGCCCTTTGATAAAAAGGTTTCTTTTTCTGTGTGTTGCCAGATACGCAAAAGCTTGTCCGGACTACTCCTCATAAACTACTGGTGCAATTTTATCCAAACTTTACAGGAATGATCAGTACCAAGTCTAGTTGTGCACTGTCCGTCTGTCTGTCCCTCTGTCACAAAATTTGTCCCAACATGAAATTGGCCATCATGAGGCGACACATGTGATTACTGATCGCTCTTGTTTAAAAAACTCAACCTAGATGTTTAGCATGAAACATCTTGTAATGGGTATCTACCAAGTTTGTTCAAATAAAAGCCCTGGTGTTTAAACTGGCCCCACTCTGGGGGCCTATATACAGGTGAGCGACTTCAGGGCCATCATGGCCCTCTTGTTGGTTTTTCTGTGGCTATATTTAGATGGACTATTTATAACAGGCAATTACTATTGGTTAGCGTATCCAATGTCAATCTACCGTTCGGCGAATGTATTTTGTACAGGAACGGCGATAATAAAAAAGGCAGTGTTTTATTGCAAACTTATTTTCATAGTGTTATAGAAATTAAGTCACTGGGTATGTAATTATCAGTGGTGTTATAAATATAATGGTTTCGGCGAACTTAACTTATGAGGAGGTGCAAAAGCGGTTTCGTTGGCCTTGTGTTATATGATATTTTTTAAAAACGCAACATATTTAGCTGACTGGTCTGTAAAGACATCTATTGTGAGCTTAAATATTTACAAAATTTTAATAGATCAGTACAATTTTCAGTCTGTTGGTGTAATCACCTTATCAATAACAAAATATGCTACTAAAACTTGACATTCCAGCCACTCAAAGACTAAGCCTTGGAAATAGCACATGATATTATTGTAAAGGGGCTATAATAAAAACCTAGTGATAACAGATATTGAAATCATATACTACTTATGAAAACAGTACAATATACATGCATATTTCTTACAGGGTAAATAAATGATTTTAAGCAAAATTGAGTGGTCATCATAATAATAATAATAATAATAATAACTTTATTTACCGAAGGTAACACATTAAGTCATATACAGGTTGCAACATCTTATTTACAATGCGGCCTTCTAAAATAAAAACACACACACAAAAGAACACATATCAATCAAAGAAAATATAACATGTAAAAGAAATGATTAAATGGTTATCACAATTTTAACATATATTAACACATATACTGAACATTCATACAATTCATTTTATTTATCATTAAACATAATACTTTCATCAGTGCATCATTTTAATGTAAAATTAACTTACAAAATTAACACAGTCAAAAAAAACAACTTGAAACTAAGACAGACACCCATTATTAGAAAACATAATAATAATAAAAAAAAAACACATGTATGAATATAAAGAGCGTATCTTGCATATATAATACATACGGACCGTGCTAAAGTTGATTAAATAAGTATTTCTTAAAACTATTCTTAAATATTGACAATTTTGTTTTTCTTCTTATAGTCAGTGGTATGGAATTCCAAATAACCATGGCATTAAATTGAAATGTGTCATTAAAATAATTAGTATGTGGTTTGTAAGACGAAATTAAATTTCCGTGAGATATCGATCTTAGATTATACTTTTGATTATTAGATATGGTAAGTAAGTCTCGGATATATTGAGGGGACATATTATTCAGTGCTTTATATACTTGGACACCGGTGTGAAAAATACATCAGTCTTTTCTTGAAAGGCAATATTTTTAATCTTTTGTATAAATTTTCTGATTGGTTTCTCATTGGAAGGTCTAGATTAATTTTGCAAATTCGTGTTTGTATTTTGTATACATGTATTTGGCATATATCATATGTAATATCTATTTCCGTTTATTGTTTACAATATTATTAATTCCTTGTCATGAAGAGTATTTATATTCAGGTGAGCGATATGATAGGGCCATAATGGCCCTCTTGTTTTCTGATCAAAGTCTGCACTGTTGGCTATTTAGTCAGAACATATCTTGAAATATTCCCTAAAAGAATGGTTTTGTCCAGATTGAAAGATGGAAAAGTCCATATAAGATAGTTAGTGTGGTAAGAGTAAATATGAAACTACTAAAATAAAAGAGGTTACAGTTAAGCCTTTGGTAAGACATACAGGCAGATATAAAGGCAAGGATTGGCATTGTTGAAGCTTCATTATGATATTACAACAAATTTTCAATTTATAAGGCATAAAAATTGGCAAACGTGATTGCAAATGTGAAATTAAAAAAATATGTAAAGGTAATATTACATTGAAAGCAACCCATGTTATGTGATGAAAGTGTTCTTTCCTATTAGGATGTGGAGTGTACATACAGGGCATTGTTTGAAGATTTTCCGTGGACACAGAGATACTGTTCTAACTATAAGAACACTTGGTGATCTACTCATTTCTGGCTCCAAGGATAAATCTTGTAAAGGTAATCTTTCTATTATTGAAACAGTAATTAGTGACTCTCCAGCTATAAATTTTCAATTTGTAATAAAAATGTACTATTGTATGTTATTGTAAAATGTTCTCTTCTAATTTTTATATATCTTTAAAAAATATATTACATGTACATAAAAATGTTTTCATTGTGTGTCATTTATCTTCAATGTTATATTTTGTTTTCCTATTAATCATTGATTCCCATTAAAAAGATAGAAATATTTAGATGGGATAGTAGAATAGGTTACTAATATAATGTGGGTTTTTTTACAGTCTGGGACATGCAGACAGGAAAATGTCAAAGGTCATATCGTCATAGGTATCCTGTAACAGCTGTTGCCATGTCAAAAGAAACAGTAATTTCTGGCTGTGAAAGTGGAAAAGTAAAAGTGTGGGAACTGAGATCTGGCAACTTAATAAAGGTATTGCTTTAAGATAATAAACAATTTTAACCGAGTAGAAATTAAACATTATTTTGATTATTTATTTTCAAAATATTAAAGTTAAGTAGTCAGTAGTTTCCTATCAGACTGCTGAAATGCTATTCTATCAAATGATATAGAAAACAACACACACACAAAAAAAGCACACACACAAAAAGCAGTTGTGCAATTTATTTTAGATTTTTTTAGCTCGACTATTCGAAGAATATGAGAGCTATTGTAGTCGCCCCGGCGTCTGCGTTGGTTAAAGTTTTTTGTAAAGTCAAATATCTCAATTATTGCTTGAGATATTCAATTGAAACTTACAATACTTATTTATAGTAACAAGGTACATCAGATTGACAAGTTGGATAACTCTACCTACAATATTGACAGAATTATGCCCCTTTTTAACTTAGAAATTTTGGTTAAAGTTTTTTGTTAAGTCAAATATCTCAATTATTGCTTGAGATATTCAATAGAAACTTACAATACTTATTTATAGTAACAAGGTACATCAGATTGACAAGTTGGATAACACTGCCTACAATATTGACAGAATTATGCCCCTTTGAAACTTAGAAATTTTGGTTAAAGTTTTTTTGTAAAGTCAAATATCTCAATTATTGCTTGAGATATTCAATTGAAATTTACAATACTTTTTTAGCTCGACTATTCGATAAGAATAAGTAGAGCTATTGTAGTCACCCGAGCGTCGGCGTCGGGGTAACCACTTGTGTTAAAGTTTTTGTAATAGTTCAAATATTTTCAAAGTCCATTGACATATGGCTTTGAAACTTTGCACACTTGTTCACCATCATGACCCCAACCTGTAGACAGGAGGAGGGAACTGTATCAAGCATTTTGACAGAATTATGCCCCTTTTTCGACTTAGAATTTACGTTAAAGTTTTTGTAATAGTTCAAATATTTTCAAAGTCCATTGACATATGGCTTTGAAACTTTGCACACTTGTTCACCATCATGACCCCAACCTGTAGACAGGAGGAGGTAACTGTATCAAGCATTTTTTTTTTTACTATCAAGCACTAAGAATAGTCGAGCGTTGCTGTCCTACCGAGAGCTCTTGTTTATAGTAACAATGTACATCATTTTGCAAAATTGCAAAACTCTGTCTGCAATATTTGCAGAATTATTTGCCCCTTTGAAACTTAGAAATTTTGGTTAAAGGTTAAAGGTCTTCAAAGATATTTACTTGATACTTTACACATGTACTTAGGGTCATAATTTGAGGGTCATAATTGTATGTCACTGACCAAGTTCCATAACTCTATCTTGCATTAAGGCTGATTCATATCCCCTTTTCTACTTAGTCTCTTGGTTAATGTTTACATGCAAGTTTTACATATCTCAATAACTATTAAAGATATTTATTTAAAACTTCACATATGCAATTAGGGTCAGAAGTGTAGGTCACTGACAAAGATCCATAATTCTATCTTGCATTTAGGCTGATTTTTCTTCCCTTTTTCAACTTAGAAATTCATGGTAAAGTTTTGCTTGTAAGCTGTTATCTCCATAACTACTGAAGGGTTTGTGCCTTTTTTGGGACAATTTTATGCATTCATAATAATAAAGCAGTGATTTACTTGATAAAACATCTTAATACCTTTTCTGTAAATTTTATGTATTCATAGGTAATTAGTATTATTAAGTATTATCAATAAAACACCCTTGTGACATTACCTTCCAAATAGTCAAGCCAATACTGTATAATTAGACTCTCTCTAAGGCCTATAACATGAAGTTATAGAAAAAATTAGCCCTTTTGTGAACTTAGAAAATTTAACATTATCAAGGCTCTTTAACTATCAAGCACTTAGAATAGTCGAGCGTGCTGTCCTACCGACAGCTCTTGTTAAGTTGTGTATTTTCAAATAAATATTCTATTTATGTTAACCATAAGCATGATGTATTGTGAATCGTGCATTTATTTACAGAACTTATTTGAAAGCACAAAAATAAAATGCTTGCAGATGTATCTGGATATCTCGTTTGTCAAACATATCAAATATCATTGATAAGCTACAAATATTGAATACAGGTATTGATTTAGACAAGATATATAGATAAATTGTGTACATTATATTTGACAGGTATATGAAACCTTTATAATAAAGTAAATAATTCATCATCAATCAGCAAATATACAGTTAAAAAAACATTAATGTGTATGTTTATTATGATGCTAGATTATGATGTTTGCATATATTTACAGGTATTGAACGGACATCACGAGGGTGTGACAGCCATTCAGTTTGATCGTTGGCATATTGTGACTGCAGGCAGGGATGGTTACGCCCTTGTCTGGAGTGCCATTGGTGATCATAATAGATGTCTCTCCGCTCTTAGACATCCAAAGTAAGAGTTGTAAAGGGGCCGTTTTTACTTTGACAAGTTACTAACTTGTTTTTTTTACTAGCAAAATGTGACTTCAGTCCCTCCTTTTACTAATAGGCCATTCATTCTTAAAATCTCTAAGAAAAAAAATACATAGATTTGATTTCAAATTAAACACGAATGTTTATGGCTTAACGTTGGCATTAGACAAAAAATGAGAAAAAAATTTCTTCTATGTATATATAGTGTATTAAGCGATCAGATGTATTAAGGATGTTTTCGGGATTTTATCATATAGACATATAGGCAAAATGAAAACTGTTCAATAGAATTTCTTTAAACTTGGCATGTTGTTAGAATATGATAACAGAAACATTTTAAGTGAACAAAAATTTGGGGTCACCATTCTCGTTTTTGAGTTATCTGCCCCTGAATCAGAATTTTCTACTTATTGAGGTCATTTCACATACTTTAATGAAATCTCGTTTTTACTTATGGATTATGTTTTTAGTCCCCTACCGGTTTAACCGGAGGGGACTTTAGGTTTACCCTCCGTCCGTCTGTCTGTCAGTCCGTCCGTCCACAAATCTGGATCCCGCGATAACGCAAAAAGTACTGAAAATATTTTTATGAAACTTGATATTTGGATAGATGGCAGTATGGAGATTATGCACATCTTTTTTTTTTCTTTTATTCCTATGTTGAAAATTCTGGTTGCTATGGCAACAAATAGTCTGAAAATATGGCAAATTTAACACATAAACTGGATCCAGTGATAACTCAAAAAGTACTGAAAATATTTTTATGAAACTTCAAATATGGGTAGATGGCAGTCTGGAAATTATGCACATCTTTGTCTTTTCTTCCTATGTTGAAAATTCTGGTTGCTATGGCAACAACTAATCTGAAAATATGGCAAATTTAACACATAAACTGGATGCAGTGATAACTCAAAAAGTACTGAAAATATTTTTTTGAAACTTCAAATATGGGTAGATGGCAGTCTGGAGATTATGCACATCTTTTTCTTTTCTTCCTATGTTGAAAAATCTGGTTGCTATGGCAACAACTAGCCTGAATTTCAAGATTTCTGATTCAAATTTTTCAGCTTTTTCACTATAAGTTCTTTATTTCTTATGGTGTTTACTTCAAACTTTAGATATAAGTTTCTGTTCATCAACCACATCATATGTGACAAGGTTTACAACTCTAGCACAAAAATTATCAGTATTACCTCCCTTGAACTTACAATTTTTATGAAAAAAATGTTGTCTTTTTTAAATAACTTCTTTATTTCCTAATGTATCTACTTCAAACTTCATATATATGTTTCTTATTATCACTTAACATTTTTGAGAAGGTTAAATACTCTAGCAAGACTATTTCCAGAATTATGTCCCCCTTGAACTTAGATTTTTTTCGAGAAATTGGTATTTTTCACTCCAACTTCTTCATTCCTTATAGGATTTACTTTAAAATCCCACATTGTAATAATATGACAAGGTTGTATAAACATAATTTCCTTACTAGGCAGGGAAACTTAACACATTACTGTGATATAGACAAACTTAGAACTCAAAAGATTTAAGTTCATTCATGTCATTCATTCACTTGGTAAAATTGAATGGCCAATGGCCCATCAGAATGTTGCTGGGGTTCTAACCGGTAGGGGACTTATGGATTGCTTGCAATACTATGATAATTGCTTGTTCTTTTTATTGTTGAGGACAATACATAATAACATGCAATTCCTTAAACAGTTTCTGTTATTGTTTTTTTTTTCAATAAAATAAAGCTACTTTAAATTCTTAAAATATCCACCATTTTTTAATAAAAAATGCACAGGTTAAAAGAAGAAGTAAAAAAGAACTATCCACTCTAAATTCAAGGGGCAGATAACTCGAAAATGAGAACGGTGACCCCAATTTTTTTTCCGTTTAGAATGTTTCTGTTATCATATTCTAACAGCATGCCAAGTTTAAAGAAATTCTATTGAACAGTTTTAATTTTGCCTATATGTCTATATGAAAACTCCCGAAAACGTCCTTAAGCGAATTTTGTCTTATGTGATCACTGTAAATTCCCCCTAATCATCTTCTCTCTTTATCTTTAATGTATTAACAACTTTTGCCCAATGCAACCAGCGACCGCTAATTAGTCAGCTGTTATTGATATTTAGACTGCATTGAATTGACCTTGAACTTGATTAGCATTTAATACAACAAGTAAATCAAGAGAAGGAGAGAACACACGTCAAACACATCAGGATGGTTTGTAACTGGTTTATTCTAGGATCTACCCGTTTCGGTCTTTCATGACCTTCAACAGGATATATTTCAATGATACATGATTACTGAAGTGTTAAAAAATCGGCTACAAAATGTGACCTATGTTACTAGACATATAAGTTATTGTCCATTTAAAATCTTTCAAATATAATGGTTAACCACAGATCATGTCTATGTCAATGACCATTTTAGGGCACAGTGGAGTGTTTATATTCACCTTAAATAATTGTTTTGGATAAATGTAGTATTAACTTCTAAATCTAAGGTTGATTATAGATACTGAAGAGAAATTATAGTTGGTTTCAGTATTCTTAATTTTTTGTGAGTAAATATGAAGATGTTGGGTGAAATTTATTTCTGTAGTTGTTTCCAGTTTGTATAATTTTGTAACAAATGTTATAAGTCTTAAAATCTGGTGTGGTATTTAGCTCCTGGTTCTTTCAATCTAAAATTATAATGAGTTTTGAAGATTTATAGTTAATTCAAAATATCGTTAATCTAACTAATTAGTTGTTTATCTTTTGAGAAATTGGTCAGGTATTGTAACATGTTGTTTCCAGGGTCAATTTTAATAATGTTAACTATTTAGGGCCATGTTCGAGAAATAAAATTCCTCTCGAAAATGTGGCAAAGTAATTTTCAATTTTCTGCACAGTTTTTGTTGATATAAAGAATTTTTAATCTTCTATGTTATCTTACTGGAGTTTTGTTGTTCTGGGCTTTTTTTCTTGTTATTTAGGTCTTTTTCGACACCCTTCTGGCAACCCCCTGATCACTTTTTAGCTCACCTGAGCTTGCTCAGGGTGAGCTTTTAGGATCGGTGAATGTCCGTCGTCCGTCCGGCCGTCCACAATTGCTTTGCCTCAATCATTATCAAACTTGGTCAGGATGCTTATCTAGTTGAAAGCTCGGATGAGTTCGAACATGGGTCATCTCGGATGAAAAACTAGGTCACAAGAGCTAAAAATAGAAAAACCTTGTGAACACTCTAGAGGTCACATTTTTGACCCAATCATCATCAAACTTGGTCAGGATGTTTGTCTAGGTGATAGCTTGGATGAGTTCGAACATGGGTCATCTCGGATGAAAAAGTAGGTCACAGGAGCTATAAATAGAAAAACCTTGTGAACACTCTAGTGGTCACATTTTTGAACCAATCATCATCAAACTTGGTCAGAATGCTTGTCTAGTCAATTGCTTGGATGAGTTCGAACATGGGTCATCTCTGATGAAAAACTAGGTCACAGGAGCTAAAAATAGAAAAACCTTGTGAACACTCTAGTGGTCACATTTTTGACCCAATCATCATCAAACTTTGTCAGGATGCTTGTTTAGATAATAGCTCGGATGAGTTCAATTATGGGTCATCTCGGATGAAAAACTAGGTCACCGGAGCTATAAATAGAAAAACCTTGTGAACACTCTAGTGGTCACATTTTTGCATCAATCATCATCAAACTTGGTCAGGATGCTTATCTAGTTGATAGCTTGGATGAGTTCGAAAATGGGTCATCTCGGATGAAAAAGTAGGTCACCAGAGCTAAAAATAGAAAAACCTTGTTAACACTTTAGCGGTCACATTTTTGCATCAATCATCATCAAACTTGATCAAGATGCTTGTCTAGGTGATAGCTCGGATGAGTTCGAACATGGGTCATCTCGGATGAAAAACTAGGTCACAGGAGCTAAAAATAGAAAAACCTTGTTAACACTCTAGTGGTCACAATTTTGACTCAATTGTCATCAAACTTGGTCAGGAAACTTGTCTAGGTCATTGCTGGGAATAAATCGAACATGGGACATCTCGGATGAAAAACTAGGTCACAGGAGCTAAAAATAGAAAAATCTTGTTAACACTCTAGTGGCTACTGTTGTGATCCAAATATTCTGTTAATTGGTCTGAAAGTTTGTTTTGATGATTTCTAAGTCAAGATCGAACATGGGTCATCTTGGATGAAAAACTAGGTCACACCGCCCAAATATGGAAAAACCTTGTTAACATTCTAGTGGTCACATTTTCGACTCAATTATCATCAAACTTGGTCAGGATGCTTGTCTAGGTAATTGCTTGGATGAGTTCGAAATCACATGTGAAACTAGGTCACCGAAGCTAAAAATAGAAAAATCTTGTTAACACTCTAGTTGCTACTGTTTTGATCCAAGTATCCTGGAAATTGGTCTGAAAGTTTGTTTTGATGATTTCTAGGTCAAGTTTGAATATGTATCACCTGGGTAAAAAACTAGGTCGCACTGCTCAAATATGGATAATCCTTGTTAACACTGTAGTGGTCACATTTTTGACTCACCTGTCATGAGACTTGGTCAGAATGCTTGTCTAGGTAATTGTTTGGATGAGTTTGATAATTCAGGTGAGCGATCTAGGGCCATCATGGCCCTCTTGTTTTATCAACGTTTCTCAAACGAAAACATTTTGGGGCCCAAACAGGACATTTTTTCACTATTTCAGGCCTTAAAAGGGGTGGGGGGTTGGAAGTTTGTTGTTTCGCGTATATATGAGGTAAAGGGTTAGGCAACCATTTTTGGTGTTTCCCTTGCACGGTCACTTAACAAATGTTTGATTGTATTATTTGCATTTTGTTCATTTTCAATTCTTTGCATTCTGATAGCTTACGTACAATGTTTTGTTATGCTCCCCGAAAAATTCGGGGAAGCATATAGTCGCCGCCTTGTCCGTCCGTCCATTTCTTGTCCGGGACACAACTTTGAACAACA